TATCCATGGTTACATCGTTGAGAACATCGACGCTGATAGACTAATCAGAATTGAAAGACAGCTAATGTTTTCGCCATAAGCACAACGTTGTATCTGGCTTGTGATTGGTCAGATTATGTGATGAGTGAAATAGTCGACAGTATCCATTAAAAATTGAATTTTTCGATTCCTCTACAATATTCTTAACAATTCTGCCAATATCAATTATAGTAAAAGACTGTCTGTAATTGAGCATCATAATTCTATAAACCGACATTTTCTCAAAATAATTATAGATTATTCTGCTGCTGCTTGTGGAAAGAAAAATTCAGGGTGACAGTAGATCGTTCAAAGTGATGGAGAATGTAGCACTATCTACACGAAGGAACAACACGTTTTCATCGAGTAATATTATGATTGTAATGACAGTATGTCAATTTTTTTACGTAAATTCTGGGACACTCTTCAGAATACTTTCCAACTCACAGTTGGTAATAGGCTACACACTACACAGTTCAGTTAGGTCGTAAGACGTTTCTTTTTCGAGATACAGGGTGTTATAGTTGATAGAAAAAATAGATTTATACAGGTATCTACGAAAAATTTACAAATATCATCATGGAATATGATATTTTAATGTTCAGTTTTATAGAAAAAAAAGAAATCGATAGAAACCACCATATTCGAGTGGAAACGAAAGAATCAAATTTGAACACAATTATCGGTGTATAGGTTTCAAATAAAGTGCTCAAAGAATTAGGTGGACCACTCGAATTTTCGAAGTTCTTCAAAAAGCGATAACTTTGTCGCAAATCAATCGATCAATCGGAATCCAATGTTCGAAAGATACGTCCTTTCTCTTCAAGATTCGTTTTTCGAAACTTTTCGAAGTTTTCCACTCATGACATACATGTGGTCAAAAAGAGTGTCACATACTCTAAAATGTTTGGAAGCTTCCGTATTCCCTAGGAATTCTTTCATCCTTCTAGAAATCCACTTTCTCAGATCTACAAGTCAATATGTCGAATTGGTTTTGGATATTCTGACCTTCCTTATACATCAGGATGTGAAATATCTGCTGCTGGTTACAATAAATCTGGACAGTGATAATATGTAACTTCAATGATTAGACTGATCACTGTGGGATGATGACAGTAATTGTCACGACCTTGACAGTTCTTTCATACTGGGATGTTATATTGAGTGGTGGAATGTTTTGAATGTTATCATTTAATTAGAATCCTCTTTTCATGGGCACTTTTCCCAAGGGAAGAAGGAAACGTGCAGTATTATAGAGGTTTCTTAATTTTATACCATTTCAGGAATGTTTGGAAATCACCGTTTCTTCAATATTTCATGTGTGGTACTCAATAATGCAAAACATTGCTCCCTTGCTGCCCCAGAAATTGACTTACATAGAAAATCACGAAATGGTTTCGAGGTGTTGACTTGTTACTGCCACTAACGGGTGGTAGTTAAACTGATCTCAGGGCAGGAAAGGGTGCCTAAAACTCTCAGATTCAGGAATTATCGTTCAAGGGTTTTGTCTTCTTTCGGTGATGGAATGAAACTTCGATAGAAAGTGTAAATGTCCTGTATTCAATTTAAAACAAAGTTCTATAAAGTCAGATCTAGTACAGTTACTCGGGTGCAAGTCCGGAGCAAACAAATGAACGTACCTGAATTCTTAAGTTGACAGCTTCGGATTTGATGGTTAGAAAATAATGAAAATATCAACTTTGCGAAATAAAATGGGACTGAGCTATCTAACAAGTGAGAGGAAATTAGGTATGGAGCATAAAAAGCAATATGTGTTGCAGAAACAGAATAATACACACCAGGACTTACCTTAGGTATAACTATTCCATTTCCGTATCTGATATCACAATGACTCCATTGTGTTATCAATTCAAAAAAATTGCATCGCTCGTGGAATGTCAAATTTCGAGCAATGACAGCTCTGTCTAATAGATGAGCAATAATTGAGAGGAAATCAGATGGCTACAATGCGAATAAATCAAAATTGCCGCTGTTATCTGTTACAGTCGTAGATAATAGTTATTGTTCAACGAGCATGGAATGGTAGTAATTTCCTACGACAATGAAGTTTGCAGCATGAGCCTTAGGCGAGTAGGAAATTAGCATTCCGTGCAAGTTATAAACTATAATTTTCCTACGGCTATAATAGATAACAGCGGCATTTTCGATTGCTTCGTTCTGTAGCCATCTGATTTCCTCTCAAGTAATGCTCATTTTTATTAGACAGTGTTGTCATTGCTTGAAATTTTACATTCCATGCGCGATGAGTGTTTTGTGAAATAATAACACAATGGAGTCATTGTGATATCAAATACGGAAATAAAATTGATGACATACAAAGTACCTCATTGATGTATCGAACACAGTAGAAGAAGAGCAATTTTGTGTTATAGCCGTAGAAAAACTATTGTGTGTACTATCTTCAGTTTAGAAATCTTCGAACAGTGATTTCTCAATTTTTCCCGATCTAACTGCCAATGAAATGTTACCAACAAATATAAAAGCGGTGTCTATCTGGAGTGCGTGATTTTAATATACATAAAGCTCCTCTTATTTTGCCATCGTTGCACGGCACTGCATACTCGGCATTACTGAAGACACGATAATCCTCCAGAGGGTCCTGATCTGGATGACACCACCACACAAATAACCCTAAAAACTCTTCACGACGAAACAAGATATGACGGCATACTCCGGAATAATGAACGGCGCCCTTTTAAGAGGGTAAATGCGCCCGGCTATAAATTAATCAGGTTGGAACGTGCAGATTTTCTATCCGGGAGGAATTTCGGGTGAATGATGTGGATGGAGGTTTCTGGGATCTGGATGTGAGAACGATAATTCAATTAGAGCGGCCACTTCTCGAGTATATTTGTAGAAAACATCAACGTTATTTTTTCAAGACTCACTAGAAGAAAGGTGCATTATTTTATTTGGATTCAAAGTGTTTCTTTGTTTGATAAGGTCATGCACACATGAGGGCCTTTGCAGACTACAAAAAAAGCACTCAGCTGACAAATCAACTTAACTCAATGACATTCTACCATTCAAGAAAGCTATACTTGGAACCATTTCCAGAAAAAAAAATTTAATGAACTTATATACATGTGTAAACGTCCAACTTTTGAGATACTCGGACGGATCACGCCTACATGACAAACAGGACTCAGGATAAAGGAGAGCTGCGCTCTATATAGCAAAATATTCTACAGTTTTTCAGGCTGAAGTATTCACCATTCTGGTCGTAGCAGAGAGACAAGAGGTGAAAGAGGGACCAGTGCAAAAGATTCACATCTACTCGGATAGTCAGGCGGCTCTGAAGGCTATCTGTCATCTCAAACCAAGCTCAGCTTTGGTACTGGAACGTGGCGATGTTCTTGAGGAACCAGCTGAACAGAAAGAAGTCGAACTAGTCTAGTATGGGTTCTTGGTCACAGGGTGGTGCCCGGGATCGAGGTATCTGATGAGCTGGCTAGAATCTGGGGACCGGAGCCTGTACTGGGCATTACAAGAAGCCGAACTCCGTCCGCCCTACTACACGAATGGGTGGACAAAGCACTAGAAGGATATTGGAGGCGAATAGGCTGCTGCAGGCAATCGAGAGACTTATTGGCCGGTCCAAACAAGTTAGAGACTGCGTGGTTCCTTGGCAAGGATCGTCAAGTATACTGCACCTCCTTATAGGGGTACTGACCAGGACACAATAGGTTGTGCAGACACATAGGTGTAGTCCCACTTGCCTTGAATGTGGAGAAGATGATGAAACGTCACTTCTCTTCCTCGGAGAGGCGTATGGAAGGACGAGATTCGAAATATTTGGAATGGATAAACTAAAACAGGAAAATTAAGTCGAATTAGAGTAGGCGGACGTCCTGACCATCATCAGATGGTCAGAGAGGTTCAGAAAGGACAACTGGAAGAAGGATGTGTAGATATGTAGAGAGCTGGGGCCTACTGGCCTGGTTGTAGCCGATCCACTTTACTATTAGTACTACTTCGAGATACAGGGTGTCAAAGTTGGAAATATGGATGGATTCTTTTTTGTTCACCCTGTATAGCTTTCAGTGATGACAAAATTCAGTATGTTATGTGATTTTCAAATGGTGCGGAAATATCGAAATGTTACAATAGTATGGTTAACCAGTAATCTGAACTGATGTCTTGAATGTAGTACTCAGCATTTGAAGCAGAATAATATCTCCCTAACGACGTCAATTGAAATCCGATTTGCCAAATGTTATCCCAACTCCATTTGCCCTCAGGGTCTCACCATTTTACTGGAATATGGTTGATTTCTGTTAAATTGAGTTAGTAATCGAATGAAAATTGAGGACGTATACTACTATACGTCATAATAATGTTTTTTTCTTGAATGTGATCTCAGAATCGCCCCCTTGAATGTAAGCATGTCATTAAGGAGCACTCTGTATAGCAAGCTTCATTCGAGAAATATCACCAAGTTGTGCCTTCTTGTTCGACAGTCCTGGTGGACGGAGTATCTTCTGACACCATAGTCATCGTCCCACAAGGATCCTCTCTTTGGCACCAACACTGTTTCCACTTCATATGAATGATCTGTTGGTAGTTACTACCTGCCATTGCGTTTCTTTGGAAAAAAAACCATTTTATTCCAGTAAAAAAAAGGAAAAAGGCAGCTCAACGCAGTCAATGAAGATCCTGCTGATGTTTCATCCTAGGGAACCAACAATCTAGTTGAATCTAGCGTCACCAAATCTCAAGCCTATTTTTTCTGTAGAATGCCTGATGAGTGATAACAATGTAAACTTTGTATATCGCTACTTCGAAATTGGAAACCAACTCCCCATGCAGAAGTCGAAACTTATGTCTGGTAGTACTTTTCCAAAGTCCACCACATCTATGCTCGATATTTTCATCAGTACTACTCTTTCATGAAATTATCTTATTAGAATCATCGCGAACGCTGTTCCACAAGAATTCGGCTTTTTATTTCGTGCGAAAAGCTACTTCACACCTCAATAGCTTCTTATGGTCTATAAATAAGGAACATTGAGAGTAAAAATTCATATTTACGAAGTGGAAAAATTGAATTGTAATAATTTGATCTCTTCTGTTGCAGCTGGTTGGTGGCGAATTTGATATGGAATTGAACTTCGTCATACAAGATGCACAGAATATTCGTCACATGCTAGAACTGCTGGACCATTGTCCTCCAAATTTACAGGTGAGTGACAATCACTGCATTATAATTGATGTGATATAGGGCCAAAGCTTTAAATGCAATGTGCATGAATATCCAATATGGAGATTTTATATTATTCGAAGCATTCACAGGATGACACATATAAGGATTTTTTTTCTGAAATTGAACCTACCAATTCTGAAATACAACTTACCATTTCTGAAATTGAATGGACTTTTTCTGAAATTCATCTCACCGATTCTGAAATTGAGTTTACCATTTCTGAAATCGAACTAACCAATTCTGAAATCGAGATTACTTTTTCCGAAATATAACTTACCAATTCCGAAATTGAAGTTGAAAAGGTATAGAATAAAATATTATTTTCGTTCGATATAGTAGGTTATTTCAATTTTTTTTATTTATAGTCATGAAACCTTGATTCGTTGATGATATTTGATATATGATAAGGAGGATATCTGTAATTCATATCAAATCAAGATAATCATGAAAATAATACTCAATATCCATTATACATCAGTTTGTTCCATAATGAGCGTGTACCACTTCGAATTCAGTAGATTCCACGACCAAAAATGAAAAAAGTCATTAAGTGGCACTTGAGGGAGCTAAACAATGTTGTTCTCTGAATTTGTTTCTATCGTTATTTTTTAAATGGTTTGAGATAAAATGATGAAATTTGGTATGCTCTTTCAATTCATTCATATGAATGGAATTTGAATTTTCCATTCAGAAGTATATCAAATTGGTTCATCAGCTTAGTATAGTTTTATAGAAATTTGTGAAATGGGAAGGTAATCTTAATTGACATCCACAAAAAGTTCAGTTCCAGACTATATTTATATTTGCACCTGAAATAACATGTCGAACAACAGCTCCCTAACTTCAGTGGAATTCATAATCATCATTCGTTTCGAGCTCATATACGCTCATCTTCAGCTAATAGTTAGATATGATAGAATTATACAAGAAAATGAGGTCATGGTAAGAGTATAGTAAATTGTTTAACGAGCATGGAATGATAGTGATTTCCTACGAGAATATAGGTTGCAGCATGAGCCGTAGGCGAATGCTGCAATCATTCGAGTTGGAAATTAGCATTCCGTGCGTTATACACTATAATTTTTCTACGGCTATAATAGATAACAGTGGCATTTTCGATTTCTTCGTCTTGTAGCCATCTATTAGACAGAGCTGTCATTTCTTGAAATTTGACATTCCATGAGCGATGAGATTCTTCTGAAATAATAACACAATGGACTCATTGTGATATCAAATGCGGAAATAAAATTGATGACATACAATAGTATATTGTGCAACAAGTGTGGAGAGTTCAACTTTCCTCACGAGTGTGGAAGTTTGTGGTACGAGCCTGAAGGGCGAGTGATGCAAACACACGAGTGAGGAAAGTGCTTTTCCACACATGTTGCACACTATACTCTTTCTACAACTGCACTAATCCAAAGAATCTAAGTTATGTAACTTATTGGTATTCAAATTATAATGTGGCACTATGCCACATTGGATATTGTGACCAAAGACTAGACGCCTTTTCTATTTCCTTAAAGTATTCCAAAAAAGTACACTTTCCGAAAAAGATTTTATTTCTGTATGATTCTCAGATTCCATAAATTTTTCGTTTATGCCGATTCATACTTTTTTCTTGTAATTTCCGGAAACAAATCCGATTTTCGCAGGTTTTCCATTATCTCTGTCTCTGGCGGTGTATTTATGAAAATCGTCACATCTCGGTTTATACATCATATTATTTATTATGAATTGTTGGAATAATATTCGATGGAAACTGCGATTTCTATCAAAAGCACAAATGAAAACTACCCTGAAGAATTTAAAAAACTTCTACTGACAGTTGTGAAAACTATTCAAAGCTGAAACACCAGCCAAATAAGTTTTGGTCGATTTTTGTTGATTCTCCTTGGAAATGTATATGGTGTTGGCAAAGTGCCGTGAGAAAAAATATTTCTCACAGTATGAGCAATACATGGTTTTGAAACTAAGTACGCTATGAGAAATGCACTACTTTTCATAGCAGTAGTAGAAAAAGTACTTCATTGACGTATCGAACACAGTGAAACAAGAGCAATTTTGTGTAATAGCCGTAAAAAATAGTCGTTTCATTTATTTCCTGAGTTCTAGAAACACCTTGTATACCTGTTGTCAGACGACACAAAGTGTATTACTGAACATGATTTTCATGAATTCATTCATCGCTTACAAATTGGTCATCCGTACCTCCGCATGTGACACATAAAAATTAAGTGGATTATCTCTATATATTAATCTGTTTTTCGAAATTCGTTGGATGATCGAAATGAATATAATCATTGCGCTACATGAATCTGTCATAATTTTATTTTCGATTCTGGGAGATTTTATCCGATTGCAATGTGCGCAAAATATTCCAATTTGAAAAATCATTCAGAGGACCGAAAAATGCAGATTGAATATATTTGTGTTCCTGTTCCAATCACTGTCGGCTTTTGCATGAAGGCACGTATTATTATGGATACGATGTAGTATACTAAATGCGTAGATATATTTCATTTTTAATTTCCCAAGAATATTGTCGCAGGATTATTTTTGTAAGTAAACGATCGTCCAGATTCTTGTACATTCACTTTGAGAGGTGATGAAGTTTTGTAAAATGATAACACTTTTAATTAATGAACATGCACCCTAACTTGGAACACAGGACGTTAAAATTTGATAAAATAATAGTTTATTAAGTATTCCATATCTATCTCATCCAAATTTGGCGCTATTTAAGCGAAATTTCACTGTTTCAAAATAAAAACTGTAGATTCATTTGTGAATAAGATATCTCTACGAAGCTTTTGAAATCGATCCCGAAAAAATTAACAATTATCATAATACAAATAACATTGTATTTATGTACTGAAAATATTTATAATGAGTCATTATCATAAATGTGTTTCGTTTTATTATGAGCAGGCTACTCCTAATCGCCGGTTGTCGTAAGTGGCGATCGTTTGTCATCTAAATGTTCTTCGGTACCTAAAAGTAGTACCTAAAAGTCTGAGCACCCCTGCTCAACAGAGTTTTATTGTCATCGATGTGAAATGTAAAGGATAATATTGATATTGTCAGATTATAAATCGAGAAATCGTAAATTCACACTTGGACACATTTATTCACTCAGGATAGCTTGTACAACGATGAACTTTTATGAAATACAACAACGACTGTCTCGTTCTAAGGCTGATGAATGAGTCCGCTTCAATCCCACGATGATGGTGAAATCGATGAATCGACAGCTTGTCATATGGCTTTATAAGGCATTCCATTCATTTACGGGGTGATTTGAACTTTGTCGCTAATAATATAATGAAAATTAGTGCTTTATTCAATAATCATTTTTCCTTCTCAGTATTCCAATATTTCATACTAAGACTAGGAATACCCTGAATAATAAGATCAACTTATTTTTGTATCAGTTCAACTAATCACATTTGAGAGATGCATTCAAAACTTCTGAGAATCTGAATAATCGATTTGGAATATCTAGAATAGGTTATCCAATCAGGAAATCGGCTCTGGTTCAAAATTTGCATAATTAGAATGTATATCGGATGCTGATGGATTATCGGAGTTGCTAACGGTCAATTACAGCCAAATCCTGTTAAATGTTCAATTAGAGGACCCGCCAAATCGGATAAGAAATCCTTCGACCTCCAGCTAACATCCGCCTCCCCAGTAATATAATAATTCACATGAGTAACATAATAATTCCAAGGTGTCACAAATATTTATCATATATAGAGGAACACAAGATATTCTTTCGAGTCGAGCTGTATTGCATCTAGGTCTTTTGCTAGTTTTAATGTCGCATCCATGTTTGCCCTTTTAGATGCCATTTGTTGAATTGAAAAACCCTTCACAATTTTTTCTAATGTAGAAGTTGTTGACATAAGCTTTTTATCGCCATAATAATTATGTAATATCTTATGTAAGGCTGATGATGGACACATATATGTCCGAAACATGTACAAATTTTTGGTGTATTCATCACATTAAATGTAGTGGAGATGACTTTGTGTATCATTAAGTATACAATAATGAATAGTAATGTGTATCATTTCAGTTCAATCGCAACTACACTCAGTTCATTTCAAAAGAATACCCTTTATTGATTATTGAAGTGAAGTGTTGGCTCCGACAGCGATCTATTTGGTTGGAAAGTAATAGTGTAAGTCTCAGTTCCAACAAAGATATAGTCGGTCGGATATGACTCTGTGAAAGAAAGAGAAAGACAACAAATTTCCATCATATGTATACATAACCTTGTCAATTATAAACCATAACTTGATTATAAACAATAAGAATCAAAATTGCAGCTCAGTCGCCACTCAACCCAGTTCTTTTCAAATGAATACCCCTTATCGCTCTGTCTGTAACGGCCGTCGGTGCTCTAGTCACTTCCAATACCAAGCGGACCGTCATGAATGTCATAAAAATCTTATGTCATGCACCAAAAAAATTCAGATCAACAAATAAATATGGACGAATTGGATATTCAAACAGTTTTGTTATTTTTGATTTTTAACTATTGTACTATCACTACTATAAACTATTTCTGGAGGTGTTCCTTCTTCGAAGGTTTGAAATTTTCTGAGAATATTGTGACTCTGGCTGCCATTTATAGGGAAACGGTTTGAAATTTATCAGAACTGAAAATGCAATGAGATCAATTTTAACTTGAACAAAACCGAAAAATGAAGAACAATCGTCAAAAAATTGTATTTACAGTATACCTTGTGTTTGTGGAAAGTTTCATATACAAGTGAAACCAAGAGACCTCTTTCAGTAAGGACGAAGGAACATAAATACAATATAAAGAAAAGACACTCGACAAATCGAAACTAGCTGAACACATCCTTACTGAAGATGGACAACATATATGGCAGAGTGAAATAATGTTAAAATCATTGGAAAAAAAGATAACAACCAGAAGAAAAAATCAGGGAATCTGCTTGCATTCT